AGCAGGAAGGGTACAGTAATGGGGGAGGACTTTGGTCCTATTTATGCATTGGCTGCATTAGTTACACTTAGGGGAAAGAGGCAGAGATAGATCATTTTGACAGTTTACAATGTTGGATATCAGTATGATTATTTTAGATGTAGGAATACCTTAAAACAAAAAAATATTAGTATTTTGGAAAGATTAAAAAAATGTACTTTTATAAACCTTGATCTAACTTTTTACTTTATTGCCATCACTGCAATAGTTGCGCATGTTCAACATTAAACACGTCAATTCATTCACCACAGGATACATTTTATAGAAAATAAAATTTTTATTCGTATAACAAGAACATTCCACTACTGACAAAATTAAAGTGCAAATACATCAGCTTTCCATGTTAAATATGGCCGTTTCTCTAGGACAGAAAGAATGCCTGCAGCTTGGGAGAAGTAGATCGCTAATCGTGATTAGACCTTGCACTTGCCAAATTTTCTGCCAGCGCTTTGGAAACATTACAAATCCCTGGCTAGCTTCACTGCCAACTAACATGTTAGTCAAATTAATCCTACTGTAGAAAACCTTTAAGTTTAAAGCTTAACTCGGCGATAAGAAAGTATTGTCCTCATACAAGAGTCATGTGTATTCTTCCTTGAATCTTGTTGTGCTTTGTGTAGTTTGTCCAGATCTGTGCAGTTAGGAATACCGAACACGCATATCAGAGAGGCTGGATTCGACTTAGTAGTTCATGGCTGTAGAAAGTCATTCCAGATCATGAAGAGCACAGCAGATCCAGTGAAGATGCTTTCAACAAAAACACGGTGCCCCCTTATATAGGGGACCCAAAATGTAAGCCCTACATGTAAAAACTCTAAAAAGCACCAGACTAAAAGGAGCTTTGATTATTAGTGATTGCTCATAACAGGGAAACATAACAGCCAATGCATTTTCAGAGATCGTTGAAACCAAAATACAAAATGGAAATGGCTGGAACAATAATGAAAAGATCAGAGAGTAGACCGTTACAAAATTATATTCGAAAAGGACATTTATATAACCAGAACCAGTAAAACTAGATAGAAGGGTGGTATCAGCACTTGATCCCAAGTAAATGCCTTGGTGCTCCATGCATAGTAATTGTAAAATACATTGTATGCATGCAAAATATGTCTTGTATTTGCATGATATAGTTTGGTTAAATCAAGTCATGAGGAAATACAGTCCTGGCTTCATCAATTTATTTTGTATTTTATTATGATATATGCTGCAGTCCTCATCATTGATTCATCCATTTCCATTTGTATATGCTTGTTTTCACTATAGCCCTAATGAAGGGGGTCTCTTTGCCCCCACAATGCATTGGATGTTCTAGAACTCCTTGTTATGAATAGACGCTAAAAGATTTTGTACTCCGATTTTTGGTCTGGCATTCTCAGACTTTGTATAGAAGAGCAACATGGGACTGTCAGGGCTAGTTGACTGGCTGTTATGATGATCTTATCAAGTTAGAGAAGAGTCCTAAATATATTAATTCTTATTTAGGGGCTGTCATTGCTTTCCTTTGTCTGAAAAACCTAGTTGACTGGCTGCCCTGATGACCTTATCATGTTGGATAAAAGTCATAATTCTATTCATTCTCATGCAGGTCTGAAGGATCCACCTTTATTGTCCTGTGATAGTGCACCCAATTATTGTTCTGATCGAGCAGGTACTTGGTTTTTGCTTTGGCACAGGTGAGAGCTACTTGTAGTCATTTCTAAAATATAAAAAGGACTATTCTCCCACATGCCAGTCTGACTGAGGAGGAGAGATCCCCATTAAAACCTATGCTGAGCAGATCCAGAATTTTATTCCAGACACAGATCATTAGGAGACTTGCATAACATAAAATTCTACCCAATGAATGTACTTTTGTCTTAGACGTGAATTGTCTGTAATAAAGCTTTTACACTCCAGCCATGTCAGATCCCAGCTCCTACAGTTTACATTTGCTGAATATAATGGACCAACTTTTGGCTCAGACCATGCACTCTGCTAAGGCTAATAGGCCAAGAACATACACCGGAATGTTTGTATTCCAAGCAGAGCATTCACTTTTCTGTCAAATAGTGCATCCAAACATTGTCTCTTCACAGATTTCCACGCAGCAACTTTGCAGGCACCTGCCAAGAACAACTTGCTCTGCAGTGTGCTTATGAATGTGGAAATTAAAATAGAGAAGCTTGCATTCCAGGTCCAGGAAAGAACAACTATGAGTAAATATTAGCTCAAAGAATTCACTGCGATTACCAGTTACTGTATCTAATAATCCAAAATTTTAATAGGCGTGTCGGGGATTAACGAAAATGACATCAAAATATCTTAATAGGTAGCTGCCGCACAGGACAGCTTTCCGCTGATTCCAAACTCAACAGGATTCGGAGCATTTACAGAACAAGCCTACACAAAACTAGAAACTCATTTTTGGGTGGGCGGCAAAGGACCGCATCACCCTTAAAGAAATTGGCACAGAGAGAAATACACTCTTACTGTGCTGGACTCTCCTCCTAAAAATGCTAGCTACCTGGCTGCCATGGTGATCCAATATTTTCAAAGCTCTAATAGTCACCAACCCTTGAACTAGAATGCAGATCAAGGAGTTCTGACTTGCTGCATACTTTCTCCATGTCAGCAACAAAGAAAGAATGTACTAAGGTGGAATGATCCCTGTGATAGCCAGGTACCTTTCAGATAGATGTAAAATGTGAGCCCACATGTATTTCAACAGTGGTTTACTTGAGTTCATGAGTTCTGGTGACCCCAGCAGGAAAGTTAAAGGCTTCCTCACCATATTTTGTTTCCTGAAATGTCACCATGGGCCCTCAGGTAAACTTGCCCCAAAAGTAATTGAGATATTAAAGCAAACATGAGAGACTAGAAAAATTGGAGCTACCATTTCTGACTTGTTCATGTGCAGTAGTAGGCCATCAGTCTGGTTTTAGCTTCATTACCTGGCAAGTCATACATTAAACAAGCAGGCAACCAGCAAAGTCTGGAAAGACTGAATTTCTATCCGGATCACTTGTTCCAGGGCAGCAACCAACAAGGAAGGGGATCAGGTTGAGAGACCCAGAGCCTAAACCTTTAAATGCCAAGACATCAGTAGCAGTTCTCATTCTATCCACGCAGGTGCCCTCTAAACCAGGAGCTCAAAGCTGCCAATTGTCCATCTTTCTGAAGGACAGTCCGCCCTATTGTAACAAAATCCCCTCATTCCCCATGTCAACATGGAATGTCCCACCAGGCAAGGGGAGGCACACAAGATGGCCCAGCAGGCTGCACATGCATACAGCCATATTTTCCTACAGCAAGAAAGTATCCTTCTATTCTTTCAGAGCATGTTAGCAGCAACGTGGCTAGGCTCCAGTCCCTAGCTTACCGTTGAGAGACAGAAGTTATGTCTACCCTGAAGGAGCAGCTGAGATGTCAAATACCAAGCAGACAAAATTCTCAAGTTTATTAGAAAGTTATGGGTGACAAAGATTTGTTATTGTACAATGGAAAAGAGTTCTGTTACCCACAACCTTCTTAAAAATGTAGAACTCTCAGTGGACTCATCTCCATAGACATCCAAGTTCCTTGCTCGATAGTAAAAAAAAACATCTTCAGATTTTAAAAGAAAGTAGTTAGGTCTAGTCTTTATATTCCTTTATTCCATCTCACTATAATCTGTCTGACGGCTCTCCTAAACTTCATTAAGAGGAATTCAGTTGCTTCTCAATACAAAATCTACCTTTTATGTAGCTAGTTATTTCGGGCTGATTTTATTTTTTCAAATGGGAGTGCTGGATTTGAAGTCAACTTTTTGAAAAATTAGATCTTGAGCAAAAATAAAGCAACACGTCTGGTTATAAATCAAAACAACTAGATCTAAAAAGAATACCAAGGACTTAAAAGAGCATTATTACCATATTTTTTTAAAGCAAAATATCTTGGGAGAGGCGATATATTTTTATAAATGGTCAGAGCAGGTTCCATGAAAAAAAAAAAAAAGGTGTTGATT